GATTGCATGCAAACATTTCATGAGAGACTGGTTGTCAGAACATGAGTATACTGGCTTCATTAAAAACAACATTCTAACACTAATGTGCCAGTGGAAATAGATATAGAGGATAAAAAGATTTGAAATTACTCTATAAACCATATTTCTATAGAATAAAAAGGCTCATCTGATCTTCAAATGCAAAAACAAATATAGAACCCACAGAAAAAAATACAAAGCATACATATAGCAATTATCCCACACCACAAGCTTGTGAATATTGCACTCACAAGGTATAAATGAGTAGGAGGTGTACCACCAAATAACTGTATCCAATCTTCAAATTTTCTTCAATCAACCCTGGTAAAATAAAAATAAAACCACATTGTGCAGATCTTTCAAATACCTGTGTGGCAGGCCATGTCCTTGTACCCTTACTGTTTCCCCAAAAGTCTTATTCACTGTTCCTCTGGTTCAATACCTTCCCTTCTACTGAACGTTATTTCAGAAAGTGCTCTCTTTGGCAGCTCTTTGGCTACCTCATGGAACTCTATACGGCTACTTGATCACGTGGTTCGCTGGTCCCCTTGAGCCCCTGTTTTACCCATCTTACCGACCTGCCACGAGAGCACTATTGGAGGGAAGGTACTACAGACTTATTGGAACAATCGCTCCTAGAGAACCAGGGGGAGCCCCCTTTTATTTGGCCACAGGAGCTCCCGATATTTGACCGGTATAAGCCAATTTACTGCCGGTCAAAACTTTACCCTGGTGGCGATTCAACAATTCTTTACTCAGACAAGAGCTATCCTGGGATGTATGATATGTGGGGTTCCTGTGTGTCTTTTCTGTATTTTGGGGAGTGTTTTTATGTTAGGCACTTTGTAACCGGGAAATAATTGGTTTAGCGGTCAGCGACTCAATTATGTCCCGGACACAGAGGCACCTGGACGGGCACTGTGTGTATACAATGGAGACCTAATAAATATAAAAGACAAGCCTGTGGAATGTAAATCAGTGCACTCCTAGAATTATGTGTTGTCTAGTTACTGGGGGAAAGTTATAATCATTGATCACTGCTTCTTCTAGCTTCGAGGAGCATTCAGCGGAGATACCTAGTCGGGGTATAGGATCTCTGCTACAACCAATAAAGAATTGCACTTACAACATCTCAGTAAAACTTCATATCACCACCATGTAAGAACATCAGGATCGAGGCACCTGCAATCTACAGACAACCAGTAAATGAAGTGACCAGCCTATAGAATCACTCCAAATGGGATGTGTTCAGCAAATATTAAAATAGCTACTCATAAAAAAAAAAAAACTGCATAAAATAAACATAAACAACCCTATGCAATTTTTCCTGTGTATCCAGAGTTCCTCAGGGGTTAAATGATACAACCTCTCAACCTGATTGTTCATTTATATATTTTTATTGCAGAAGCCTGGATCCAAATGTTCCACTTACATGGGGGTGATATGCACATTTTTATTGAGATTTTTAAAGCATATTTCTTCATTAAATATTGGTTTTTGAAAGGTCTGCACATTGGGGTTTTATTATTTTTATTTTACAAGAGTTGATTGAAGACAATTAGAAGAATGGATACAGCTATTTTGAAGCCCATGAAACAGCGAAGTCAAGGGAGTGGGCCTTGACAGAGCCAGGGAGTAGGCAGGGAGTTATTAATTAGGGGTGTGGTGGTTATTAATTTGAAAAAGGGGGTGGAGGTCTAAGGGGTATATTATGCAGCCATTTTAGAAAGTGGCCATTTTAACAGAACCTTCACTTACCTGTTAGTTGTTATTAGCAGGTCTGTGCTGGTTTTCTTCTTTTTCTTTCAGGTCCATGGCTTCGCTGGATGAGATCTTGGAAGGAGTGAGGGCGGCTGTGCGTGTCAGAGGGATGGCCTGGCTTCACAAACAACTGGGGGCTCCAGGTACTGGTACCCCCCTGCGGCTGCGGATCGGCGTCCGGTGAGGAGGGCGAGACCACCCCAGAGGCTGAGTCCGGGCGTGGAGCCTGAAGCAAGAAGACGGCGGAGGAGCCCTGGAGGCGGATGCGGGCAGAAGGGAGAGGGAGAGAGCGCGGCCGGCACAGTCTGTCCACGGAGCACTCCCCGCCAGAAGGCGGCCGGCAGGGCAGCAAGGACGGAGGCGGCAACCATCGAGGCTGGGAGGGCGGTCGGAGGAAGCAGCAACATGACACGGCCCAGTAAGTCAGCTTCTGGCGTTATGGCCGGGCAGCACGTGGACAGGCAGGAAGATGTCACTAGCGGGCAGGCTGTCCCCCTGATGGCCTCTGGGAACAAGGACACAACAGGTGCAGCCAAGGCAGTAGCCGGGGCCGGGACTAGCGGAAGGGGGGCAGCCGGCTGGCACATCCAGCTAGGTCAGCGGAGACATGCGTGGTCAGTGGCAGAAGGGGACTCTGGGAGAGAGGAGCCGGTCACCGAGCAGGCGTAGTAGATGGAGGTCATTAGAGAGGAGTTCACTGGGACATTGGCACAGCACATACGGCCAGGAGGGCCAGGCGGCGAGGTGGGACAAGGCGAGGGACAATGGACAGGAGCGTAGGGAGGAAGGGCGGGTAAGTGAACATGCGGACACACTACCCAAGTTTCCTTCTCCTTACAGGTCTCTGTGTAATAGCAGCTCTCCGCAACAAGGCTCATGATGGCGCAGAAGGCTGCGCCCTTTCAGGGGATGGCCGGTGGGGTACCTGGGGGAGTGGCACCGGCCAGGCGAAAGAAGGGCTTCTGCTGGCTCTTCAATGAGGGCCAATGCAAGTGGGGAGCGTTGTGCAGATTTAAACATGAATGCTCCAGTTGCGGAGGCACCCATGGAGCCAGCAGGTGTTTCAAGAGAGGAAAATCTGCATCAGGAACGGGTGCCATTGGGGCAACGAGCCCCTCCGCTACCGCTGGGGGCAACTCCGGTGAGGGTAGGCGAGATGCTACCGTGGTACGTTAACCGAAGAGTTTTTGTGGAAAGATTTTACAGAGGGGTTTACTATATCATTTAGGGGTAAGGGATCGGGGAGTTTAGGTGCGAACCTCAAATTCGTTAGGTACCACCCAGGGGTAGTTCGGGAAAAGTTGCAGAAGGAGGTACAGCTGGGTAGGATGGCGGGGCATTATCTGTCCCCGCCGTTGCCGGAGTTGAGGGTGTCTCCACTAGGGGTGGTCCCCAAGAAGGAAACAGGCAAGTTCCGTTTGATCCATCATTTATCATACCCAAAAGGGGCTTCGGTAAATGATGACATTGACGCGGCCCTGTGCTCCGTCTCATATGCATCATTCGACCATGCGGTCGAGTTGGTTCAAAAAGCAGGGCGGGGGGTGTTAATGGCGAAGGTGGACGTGGAGGCAGTGTTTAGGCTGCTTTACATTCAACCGGAATGTCACCACTTATTGGGGTGCTTTTTCGAAGGGAGGTTTTTCGTGGATTTATGTTTGCCCATGGGCTGTTCCATTTCTTGTTCATATTTCGAAAAGTTCAGCACCTTTTTGGAATGGGTGGTACGTTGGGAAACGGGCGAGGGTACAGTGGTACATTACTTGGACGACTTCTTGTGCGTGGGTCCGGCGGGATCCGACAGATGCGCCCAGATACTGCGAGTTCTGCAAGGGGTAGCACAGAAGTTCGGGATTCCTTTGGCCGAGGATAAGACGGTAGGCCCGACCGAGTGCTTGAGTTTCCTGGGGTTGGAAATTGACTCGGTTAAAGGGGAATGTAGGTTACCCGTGGAGAAGTTGATGGAGCTCCGCTAGCAGGTGGAAGAAGTGAGGGGTTCTAAGAAGGTGACCTCACGGAGTTTGCAGTCACTGTTGGGGAGCCTAAACTTCGCTTGTAAGGTGATTCCAATGGGGGGGGGTTTTTGTAGACTGTTGGCCCGAGCTACCTGTGGAGTTTGGTTGCTGGGCCACTACATCAGGGTGTCGGCGGACATGAGAGCGGACTTGGACATTTGGAACCGTTTTTTACAGGAGGTTAATGGGTATTTTTCAGGGTGGCGGCGGCGGGAGCCACCGGGCTGTTTACAGATGCCTCTGGGAGCGTCGGTTTTGGGGCATACTTGGGGGGTAAATGGTGTGCCGAGGAATGGCCTGAGGTGTGGAAGGAGAGCCCCCTGATCAGGAATCTGGCATTCTTGGAGTTTTTTTCCAGTGGTAGTGGCGGTGTCACTGTGGGACAGGGAGCTCGCGAAAAGAAAGGTTATCTTCCACTCTGACAATATGGCAGTGGTTCATGTGATCAACAGTCTCTCGGCTTCGTCGGTTCCCGTGGTGCGGTTATTGAGACATCTAGTTCTCCTCATGGAATATTGTTTTCTGGGCATGGCATGTGCCGGGTCTGTTGAATGTTGTTGCTGACGCACTGTATCGTTTGCAGTTGGAGCGATTTCGGGAAGCAGCGCCAGAATCACAGGAGTCGGGACAGGCATGCCCGGAGGAGATGTGGCAGCTCGGGACATCATGCTTGGGGAGTTTATAAGGAGTTCGTTAGCACCTGGCACCTGGGCAGCATATACCAAGGTTTGGAATGAATGGGAAGAGATGGTGGGGCAGACAGGAGTGGGGAACTCCGCAGCAGGTAGGTTGGATGCGCCATTATGGCTGCTATGTTGGTTATTGGCGAGAGGGTCGTCTCCGTCCAGGGTTGATCTTTATATGTCGGCTCTGACATTTCTCTTTAAGTTTAATGGGCTTCCGGAAAGGGAAGAGGTCGGTGGAAACAAGGAGGCCAGTGTCGTTCGCTGTCCTTCAAGGGTTGGTGGAAGTTTTGAACGATACGTGCGCCTCGCCATTCAAAGTAATCTTGTTTTCCGTAGCTTTCGTGTGGGCTTTCTTAGGGGCGTTTCGCATCAGTGAATTGGTCAGTGCCAACAAGTCAGGGATAAATGGGCTCAGGTTGGAGGACGTGGTTGTAGAGCAGGTCGAGATTCAGCTAGGACGCTCGAAGACAAATGTTTTCGGGAAGGGTAAGAAGATCGTCTTGTTCGCACTAGGGTCGGAGGTTTGTCCAGCATCCTGTGGGGCAAAGTTTATACAAATTTGCCCCGGGGTAAAGGGTTGTTTCCTGGTACATGAGGACGGATTGGCGCTGTCGCGCTTTCAATTTATTCGGGTCTTTCGCATGGGTCTAATAAAGTTGGGCCTGCAACCCAGTCAATTCGGGACGCACTCATTCCGCATAGGGGTGGCAACGGAGGCGGCGCGCTTGGGATTGGGGGATGATCGGATAAAACGAATAGGAAGGTGGGAGTCCATTCGGTTCCATTCATACGTGAGGCCGGACAGGTTGGTGTGACAAGGATTTGGTAAGGTTGAGGGACAATGGTGCTCTGCTGTGTAACTAATTTTGTTTCTTTCCAGGTTTGGTCACATGGCTGGTGGGTCACTCGTACGTTTACTGGGCACAGAAGAGGGCCGCAGTTCGGAGACAAGTAACGCAGCTGGGTTTTCTTCTGGAAATGGTGGAGTTACAGTGGTTTGGTTTTAGCTGGCAGAGGATCAGTGGAGAGATTTTCAGGAGGATTTTGGGGGGGCCGCCCCGGACATAATGTTAATTCACGGAGGGGGTAATGATTTGGGTTTGGTCAGGAGGATGAAGCGAGATGTAAATCGGCTGCGGGTCCCTGGCGTGGTGGTAGTGTGGTCGGAGATGGTGCCGCGGTTTAACTGGAGGCACGCCAGGGATCCAACTGCAGTGGCGCGATGCCGGGGAAAAGTTAATAAATACATGGTTTTTGTTAGGATGATAGGCGGGGTACCGGTGCGGCATAGGGAGTTAGAAGGTATGCTACCCGGATACTTTTGAAGAGATGGGGTACACCTGTCAGAGGTAGGGTACGATTTACTGAATTTGGGTTTCCAGGAAAGTATTGCTAGAGCCCTATTTCTGTGTGGGGAGGGGCGCTCGAGACATTAATGTGTCAAGTCTCGTGCTGTGGCGGGATAAGGCTTGGGTAACTGGGATTTAGGAGGAGTATCAAGTGGTTAGGCTAAGGTTAGGCTGGATTAGACCGGAGTGTTAAGTGGTCTGTAGGTTCAAGCTCATCGGTGGCTCCGAAGCTGGTGGTGTAGGGGTGTCTCTGTACACCCCTACAGTTAAAAAACTTATGGATATGGGGCCTCTTTGGTAGGCCATGTGTTATGTATTATTTGTTATCTATAATGTTATATATTGTTACTGGTATGGGGTAATTATGTACGGTGGGGGATTGTAGTAAATTAACATTATGTGGCAATGACCCCAAATTGTTAATATGTTTATTACAATAGATAAAGCTGTGACTTTTATAATTCCAACAGAAATATGGTGTCTGTGGTTATTGGGATTGGGGTAAAAATGGCACATGCCGATTAACGACTGTGCGCATGTCATGAAGCCCATGGAACAGCGAAGTCAGGGGAGTGGGCCTTGACAGAGCCAGGGAGTAGGCAGGAGAGTTATTTATTAGGGGTGGGGTGGTTATTAATTTGAAAAAAGGGGTGGAGGTATAAGGGGTATATTAAGTAGCCATTTTAGAAAGTGGCCATTTTAACAGAACCTTCACTTACATGTTAGTTGGCCCTCCCACCCTCCCTGTGGTTGAGTAGTTCCCGTTTGGTCACAGCAGCGGGATAGGGCTTGGGTAATTGGGATGTAGGAGGAGTATCAAGTGGCTAGGCTAAGGTTAGGCTGGATTAGACCGGAGTGTTAAGTGGTCTGTAGGTTCGAGCTCATTGTTGGCTTCCGAACCTGGTGGTGAAGGGGTGTCTCGGTACACCCCTACAGTTAAAAAAACCTATGGATATGGGGCCTCTTTGGTAGGCCATGTATTATTTGTTATCTATAATGTTATTTATTGTTACTGGTATGGGGTCATTGCCAGGGGTAATTATGTACGATGGGGGATGGTAGTAAATTAACATTATGTGGCAATGACTCCAATTTGTTATCTTGTTTATTACAATAAATAAAGCTGTGGACTTTTATAATTCCAACAGAAATATGGTGTCTGTGGTTATTGAGGTTGGGGTAAAAATGGCACATGCCGAATAACGACTGTGCACATGTCAAGTGATATGCCTCCTTCTCATTTATACCTTGTGACTGCAGTGTACACAGTCTTGGGGCGGGTGTAAACAATACTGCTCTATGTATGTTTTGTATTTTTTTCTGTCAATGCTATAATTATATCTTGGTTTCAGCCTGTAGACATCTTGACAATTTGATGTCTATGCTGCTTTTGTTAAAGATAAAGATAAATTATAATGTTTAATGTTTTTTTAGATAAATTTGCAGTTTATGCATGATGTAAACTTTTGATCTCATGACCCATTCTGCATATGCTTGTCTTGAATGTCTTTGTCCAAATGATCTCCTTTAAGCACCCCAACATAAGCAAAATCCACAAGCAGAGTAAGAATAAATGGAATTCATTACTTTAGGAAATCAAACCCAACAGAGGTGTCCCTTTTCACCAATATTATGTATGCTGGTGTTGGAGACGTTATTGTAGACAATGCAGTATAATTCACACACTTAAGACTTGGACATAAAGTGTGAACGGTACTAATGAATAGTATATTATAACAGAATATACTGTCAATTTATACTGTTTCCTTTTGATAGTGACTTATTAATGAGCACTTAAAAACAGCAGTAACTATTTTAAACGAGGTAAAATATATAATACTTGATTCATTTCTAAATTAAACTACAATAAAGATATTTAAAGAAAATAAAGTAATGTTTACTAGAGTGAAACACAGCTATAGTATCAAAATTTTAACTCTCCTACCCCTCAAAGCCCGTTAGCTCCCAAATTAGAGGGCTTAGAAGTGTGGCTTTAAGCCATGCTGCCAAGCCCTCTGGGTGTGAGAGTTAGGACTCTTACTTCCTGACCCTCATAACGTAACATTCAATAGGATAAGACTAAAGTGAAGTGGTTGTCCCACTAAAGATGGAAAAATTTCGACATCCACTTCACCAAATGATATCTCTAGATAGTTACAATAATTGTTAGGTATAACCTTTATTAAGCCGACTTTGGCAAAACACAAAACAATAAATAATAATAATAAAAATAAAGTAATAGTGAAACACTCGTGGGAAAAACACGTGAAGTAAAAAGTGGGTAGATGTAGGTTTGGATATCCTCAGTGTATATTGGGGTAATTTAGATAGCTTCACTGAAAACACTAGTAACCAGTACAATAAAGTACCGTATGTGTTCAGTCACATATCACAAAATTGCTCCCCCTAAAGTCTACAGGGATCTGAAAATCCCAGCTATGTAGAGGTATATCCACAAAAATTATTCCATAGACTCTAGTATATTATCACAGCATATACTTTCGGTTTAGATAGATAGTATCCATATATAGTTTTATCTATCATCTACAAATGTATCCAAAGTGTTGCAAACAAAACAAAAAAACCGGCAAACGCTCGACGCGCGTTTCGGCGTGGTCACACGCCTTTATCAAGAGCTCCTAGCGTCGAGCGTTTGCCGGTTTTTTTGTTTTTACTAGTGGGGGATGTATATAGTGATCTAGTCACTTATGCTGGTGGCATTTAATTATTCACTTTGATTCTCTAGCTGATATTTTTCCGTTCTAGCCATAGTTAGTGGCACAACTAGGACTGTAATTATACCTATTTAGACAGTTCAGCTAGTGATCTTCAGCGTTAGGCTGCCTTGAAGCAGCAGTGTGTAGTATCTATAGGAGTTGTGTAGCAGCAGTGTTTAGTATATACATGAGCTGGATTTAGCAAGTGTAGCAATTTTTTGCACATTTAGGTGTCCTTTCGATCCCGGGAGGGATTCAGTCTGTTGGGTGGGTACCTCTATATATTTATATAAGTTAATCCATCCTTAGAGACACCTATTTTTCATTAACTACCGTTCTTGATCTATTTAAGCTCTTTCCTCCTGTGACCTCTCCACTTAGTAATGAGTATCTATATCTCATCTAAGTACTAAAATACCAAGTAACACACTGTATACACAGTGCCTCTCAGCTTCTTCCTAGACTCTGTTTTTATTTGCAACACTTTGGATACATTTGTAGATGATAGATAAAACTATATATGGATACTATCTATCTAAACCGAAAGTATATGCTGTGATAATATACTAGAGTCTATGGAATAATTTTTGTGGATATACCTCTACATAGCTGGGATTTTCAGATCCCTGTAGACTTTAGGGGGAGTAATTTTGTGATATGTGACTGAACACATACGGTACTTTATTGTACTGGTTACTAGTGTTTTCAGTGAAGCTATCTAAATTACCCCAATATACACTGAGGATATCCAAACCTACATCTACCCACTTTTTACTTCACGTGTTTTTCCCACGAGTGTTTCACTATTACTTTATTTTTATTATTATTATTTATTGTTTTGTGTTTTGCCAAAGTCGGCTTAATAAAGGTTATACCTAACAATTATTGTAACTATCTAGAGATATCATTTGGTGAAGTGGATGTCCAAATTTTTCCATCTTTAGTGGGACAACCACTTCACTTTAGTCTTATCCTTTTAAATTATTCTGTGGGGTTATGCCCCTTGATATCTCTGTAACCCTTCCTTGGAATTAGTGATGTGGATTTAGTCCACCTCTATCTCTTTCCTTTCTTATTCTGTAACATTCAATAATTCTCTCTGGCAGAATCTTAGTGTTGGGGCTCCTATTCTTGCTTCGGACCTTTGCTCCTTTTTCAGACTTGATAGACCATACCCTTGAATTGGGGAAGCAATAAATACTTTGGTTTAATAAGGGTAAGCATACAATTTATATAGGCTACACATAGAACGTTCGAGAATGGGGCGTGCATAATTATTACAATACATGGGGGCGTAATTATTTATACAATATATTATAAAAATAAAACTTAATACCCTTATAAGAAATTGACTAACTTAAAGCATACTGTAAATGTGCTCAAAACATGTTTCCCTCATTTAGAAGGATGTGGTTAATGTTGGTTCAAGTCGAGTACCTAAAAGCAAAAAGTACCTAAACATAAAATGAGGAAATGTGTCTGTTTAGCAGAATAAAGTACCTAGACATATCACGGCCTTAGTTCCCCAATGCTCATCTATGTGGAGCAATGGATTGGCTCGTCATCCTGTAGGTACACCTTCAGGATGACGCAACCCGAGTAGGAGCTTGCGGCAGCACCAATGTGGTCTCGTCGCTTGAGAAAAGATGAGTAATTTGTTTTATTTTAATTCTTTTTTTTTATCTTACACAGGGGGACCTAATTGATAAAGGGCATCAGGGCTGTATTGTTAGGAATTCAGATAAGTATTCCTAACGCTACAGTGCTCTATTAAATGTATCGATGAAAACAGCATTTTAGAATGCCCATTTAATCGGCATTAAAGAATATTGCTAGAATAATACTAGATTTGGTAAAATATATGCATTAAACATATATTTTCAGAGAATAATTACTATATAACTAACATTATTAATAGGAAATCCTTTGTACTATGACTCAAATAAAATGAGGGATATGGGAAAATAGTTACATTTTGTTATTTTAAACCAAAAGGGGGAGTGGGAGGGTTGGAATTTCCAGATGTTGAAATATATTTCTAACCAACTATGTAGAGCAGTTTATCCAAAAGATAAACCGTGGCCAGATATAGAACAAACACGTAACAGAATCCTGACACTCATATGACACCAAACACAAAGGGGTCTTGATGACAATTTGTTTAGCAATCCCATCAGAGAATACAGAGTTGTAACATTGAATAAACATCCAATAATGGCAGTTGACATGTAATATGGTGAATACGCCTTTCTTCTTTTGTTGTTTGTGACTCAGTATAAAGCTTATCTTCTCTGGGGAATACTAAAGCATGGAAAGGGTTAACCAAGATAAGAAAAAAATACCAATTAGAAATACAAACTATGCTGACTAAAAAAGAAACTATGAGCAAATAAACCCAGAAAACATTTATAAATAACCATTTGGTGAACATACAACCACCTGATAATGAGAAAATAATTGCAAATACACATTGTTGGACAATGAATAATTATTTATGTTCAAACTGCTGTTTATATAGTGTAAAACTGCTATGTTTATCATTGGGTTAAGCCTTCCTCCAAATCCTCTAGTGGCTGTCTCATTGACAGCCACTAGAGGCGCTTGCGTGCTTCTCACTGTGAAAAATCACAGTGAGAGCACGCCAGCGTCCATAGGAAAGCATTATGAATGCTTTCCTATGCGACCGGCTGAATGCGCGCGCAGCTCTTGCCGCGTGTGCGCATTCAGCCGACCAGGCGGATCTGAGGAGGAGAGGAGGCAAAGAGCTCCCCGCCCAGCGCTGGAAAAAGGTACGTTTTAACCCCCTTCCAGAGCCGGGCGGGAGGGGGACCCTGAGGGTGTTTTCCTGGCACTACAGTGGTCCTTTAAGGCAAAAAAGGAATTTCCAGGCACTCAGTGTGTTGAAGCCGCAGGCAGATTTTAATGGAAAAAAAAGAGCAGCAACGTTTCAACCTTCTAGGAGATCTTTTTCAAGGTTGGTAGTATTATTGTTGTTGCATATCTGTATAATATTCTGATTTTACTTTTACATGTTTACCTTTCATTCTCCGTTGGCCAGACTACCAATTTATTTTTACTTTCATTTACCAAATAATTATTTAAGGTTTATTTCACCTTCATCTAGAAATGAGCAGATGACCTCTTGGGTCACGTGGAATTGTAATTATGATGCAGTTCCTCCAGGCAAAGGGGAGAGTTATAAATGAGGCCAATACTAATTGCCATTATCTTATCTATGTATTGGAGATTGTGTTTACATATTACACAGTTACTGACTTTTTTTTTTTTTCAGATTTATTTTTGAAGGTTTAATATATTACAGAGTAAACTCACAGGGATAGTGCTGCATAACACAGAAATGACTTAGTGAGTTCGAACACTTTTTGCTGTGAACTGAAAATACACAAATAATGTAAACCGATTTAGATTCAGAGGTGGACGCATAGCACAGGTTAAAATACTCATATTTAAGGAAGTAGTTGGCATAGTGGATTTGTAAGGGAGTTGGCAATTGCCCTCAGGATGTTTTGGGTTTAAATGATGGTGGTCCACAATGGGAATCTATTTATCCACACAAATGCTGATGCTAAATAGCCTTGGGCATTTGTAAAAGGCTTTGGGAAGCCGAGCTGTCAATCATACCAATAATGGTGTCCACAAAGCAGATCAGTAATTGACAGTTCCGACTCCCAGGAGGTTCCCCAGCAGCTGAGATCTTTACGGCGATTTATTGTTTTAAATGTTCTATTAAACCATGCTTAGTTATGAGTTTAAGTAGCACTGTCTATTTTATAAGTTATTTTCTGTCTGCAAAATCGCTTAGTGCTATGAATCTATGCAGCACGTAAACAAAGCAAACCCTGCTTGTATGCTTGTTGTTTACAAATTACCAAAATGCTGCATTTTAATTTAATTTCCTTCTATCACTAACTCGTGACTTCTCCCACATTTCTTTAAACTTTTTTCCACAACATTACATTGCAGACCATTGTTTCTTACTTCATTGCCAATTTCTATCACCATGAACAAATTATCACAATTTTGTGCTTGCCACCTCCACTACCCACAACTTTTTACATACTGTTAGAGCTTCAAAGATGCAGCAGTTTATTTTGCCCACTAACCACACTTTGCCGTCTCCTCCATACCTTACATACATTTTGCCATTAAAATCTGTGATGAATTAGTGCCATTCAATCATTATCTTTATTTTTTTGTATACACTGACAGCTTATCCCAGTTTGAATGAAAAGTCCAGTGTTTAGCCCCAATTAAAGTCACCTACATTCTTATTCGAATTCAGGAACACAATGACAATTTTGCCTACAGATTTCGGTTCAGGTATGCTAAACAAATATATTCGTTTTAAGTGATCACTTCCCTCAGTTTGTTATATAAATGCCACTAGGCCCATTCTTGCAATGTACAATTGTAGATGGCACGGGAACCAGGTTGAAAACAATGTGGAGTTGACTGACAAGCAATAAGTATGGACAGGCAGTTCAGATTCATAGTCAAATAACATGTAAATGATCAGGGCAGTCGAGTCAGGTTCATTGTCAAATTAAAGGCACATGTCCAGGACACAAGGTTCAGCTTAGTAGTCAAATAACAGGCAACAGTTCAGAGCACAAAATGTCAAACACGCTATGATGCACAACAAACTAGAGTTACCAATAAATTGTTTGTTTTTTTTTTTTTAATGAGTTACCCTATTTTCTTTTAAACATATATTAAGGGTTTAGCAGATTACATCATAATCCACTTCAGATAAAGAAAAGCAAAAACTGCAAATTAAAAGGAAACATTGTTTTATTTCTCCTCTTCGATGTATGTTTTTTTTCTATGCTGATTGACAGGTGCAAATGACAGAGTTTAGAACAATGATTGACAGAAAGCTAAGATGGAGGTGCCCCCATTTCAGGATTTTTCCTACCTCACAAATATATATTTGTTAATTGTAGGGATTTGTAAACGTATTAAATCTCCTGGGGATTGATAGTTCCCCTTTAAGTAGGATATGAATCAGGATTTGGTGTATCAAAAATGATGACTGTTTTGTGGGCAATACCATCAGCTGCATGGATTTGTCATCACTTGTTCTTGAAGTCAAATAGCATCTTATCAGCCTGTGCATGTCTACAGAAGACAGAAGAAATCAGGGCTTAGATTGTGAGTGTGACATATTCTCTGTATAAAAAATTTTATAATAATAATTAGTAAAGAAAGAAAAATAACAATTCACTATGGATTTTAACCCCTTAAGGACACATGACATGTAATGATTCCCTTTTATTCCAGATGTTTGGTCCTTAAGGGGTTAAACTGCCTCTAGAAAGCAACATTAGCACACAAACTGTTTGTCAGGAGCCTCGTAAATTGGGTATTTGTAAAGAGACTAAGGCCTTTTGTGAATGCAAGCAGTATGTAAAGAATATGATTGCATGTGAGAATAATGACAGACATCTGTAGGCTGCTGATTGTCCCAAATATTCCATGTCAATATTTGTCTGTTTTTGCTGCTGAAAATCCCATATCAATATTACTGAGATGTCTTTAATAAGAAAAAATCTGAGACATATGACTGCCCAGCCAAGCTACCATCCTTCAGCCACGTAGCCACTGTTAAGCCTAAAAAAAGCAGCTATAGCAGAATATTCTGCGTAATCTTAGAAGAGATTCCATTAGGACCATTCCTATTCACTAGGAAAATATATATATATTTTTTATATGACAGCAATAATAACTATATTAATGACCATCAAAAATTCCTCTTCATATAATTCTTTAGTTGATGTTATTATCCTAAGGATCTATCAATTTTACATAATTGGACCTTCAACGTGTCTTTCATTTGTGTATGGATGTGTATGAAAGGATAATGAATGGAAAATTGCACTCACCAGTATAGCATGAGATACTATAACCAGTAATTGGGCATATTCTTTTTATGCCTGATTCTTGCTTGAAGCAATTTCAGTCTGTATATATTCCCTTATGATGTCTGTTGACTGGTTTGTCTGACTTCAGCCTATCCTCTCAGAGATGCAGCGTTTCCCAAGAGACCATTTGGGTGATCAGTAAATCCCTTAGATTCTAGAAATAAAAGGCTCAACAATCGGTTACATGGTGAACTCAAAAAAAGAACTCAATTTAGGACTCAAGGGATACATTCCTTTTCCTAACGACCTAACATCTCACACAGGAAGTCTGCATTACTTGTAACCATGACAACAGTAACAATAGTCTTGTCATTCTATAACCAGGTTGCCCTATGGGTGGGGGAGTAGGAAAACAGCACTGAGAAGAAGTTTTTTGAGGGTCCCTAATTATAGGAGACACGACTGAGCGTCCTTCATTCATGGCTACTGGGCTACAGGGATACAAAGCAGCCCTGGAAAAAAATTTATGCCAGCCCCATAAGTCACTGCGCCATATATTGTTGCATGTAATATGTAAGGCTATGTCTTGCCACCCCAGATGACAGATGAGTGAGTAATATATATTATGTATATATATGTATATATATAAATATATATATTGCTTTTTCTAATATAAAATATTGGTCCCTTTAGAGTAAAACGTTTAATTATACAGTAAGCATACTCACATGCAGACACTGACATCTCAATGACACACACAAGCTCATTGATACACAGCCTCAAAGACAAACAATCTCACTGATATACATCAGCTCATTGACATAAAAACACAAGCTCACTCACTAGCAGGCACACACATGCAAGCAAGCTCACTCACTGGCAGACGCGCACACACACACACACACACACACAGCTTAATGTAGTGGTACTGGTGTCCATAGCATGTCCCTACAGGCTTTTCAACGTAAATTTTGACTTTTCGGAGAAAAGGCAGTGTTTACATTGCTTCAAAGTGACACCGCTAGTGACAGTCACTCAGACAGTCACTAGAGGTGCTTCCTGTGTCAGTGCACCTACATTCACACTCTGGAGGCGCTGAACGTTCCCCATAGAGATACATTGATTCAATGCATCTCTATGAAGAGATGCTGATTGGTGTAGTGTTTTGCAGCCAATCCTATGGCAAAGCATTGAATTGGTTGAGATCATCAAGCTTGATGATCTCAGCCATGGAGGCAGGGCCAGTCGAGGGGAGACCAGCAGGCTGCGTGGGGAAAAAAAAGGTGAGCAAAAACATTATTTTTAAACACACATATACACCATGACAGACACAGAAACACACATATACCACAACAGATACACACCATAACAGAGCATGACACAGACAGACACACACACCATGACACACACACATATACCATGACACACACACCATGACAAAGACAGACACACACCCCATGACGGACAGACACACACAGACAGACAGACAGACACACACCATGACACAGACAGACACACACCAAGACAGACAGACACCATGACACAGACAGACACACACACCATGACAGATAGACACACACACCATACAGACACACACACACCATACAGACAGACACCATGACACAGACAGACAGACACACACACCATGACAAAGACAGACACACACCCCATGACGGACAGACACACACAACATGACACAGACAGACACACACACCATACAGACAGACACACACACACACACACCATACAGACAGACACCATGACACAGACAGACACACACACCATGACACAGACAGACACACCATAACAGACAGACAAACTCACACTGACACACATTACTACTACCTGCCAGGGGGTCGTTCAGTGCAGACGGTGGGGGACTTGTACTGGAGTCTGGCGGCCGCTGGGGGACTTGAGCTGGAGTCTGGTGGCCGCTGCGCTGGGGGACTTGTGCTGGAGTCTGGCGGCCGCTGGGGGACTTGTGCTAGAATCTGGTGGCCGCTGGGGGACTTGTGCTGGCGGCCATTGGGGGAGCTGCACTGGCTCTGCTCTCCCGCGCTGCTGAATGAGACCGCGGCCTGAATATGACGTCATATTCCGGCCGTGGTCTCATTAAGCTGCGCACTGGGGCGCAGCTCCCCCAGCGGCCGCCAGTACAAGTCCCCCAGTGGCCGCCAGACTCCAGCACAAGTCCCCCAGCGGCCACCAGCATAGGTCCCCCAGCGGCCACCAGACTCCAGTACAAGTCCTCCGGCACACCCAGCCGTTTGCCCTGACCCCAGGTGCCGACGGCCCACTGGGAAATTTCCCGGTATCCCGGTGGGCCAGTCCGGCCCTGCTGGGCTACATAGAGCAGGCATGTCAGTGAAAGCCAGTGTTGGGTCAGGAGGAGAGGGGAGGACATTGCAACTTTATGTGTTTTAGTATGCATTTTAGTGGAGTAGGTTGTTAGTATAAATGTTAGTGTACGGCCCCTCTACAGCGGTCAAGGCCTGTTCCCCCAGAGCCCGCACCTGAGTCCATGCACAGGGCCCACCCCTGTGTAGGGGACAGGCATCCCAACTTGCAAAATCTCATTTCAGAGAGGTGGCTGCCCCGCCCCCATGCGCACCCCACATAACGCCCCCTCCCAGGCGGGCCTCCAACATATTACAACTATTTACACACAAACACATGCACACACCTTGACACACAGATACACATACTGGCATATACACAACTTGACACACAGATACATGCACTATTACATACACACAAACAGATACACACACTGACACATATACCCACACTGGCACATGCACACAAATATGCACAGATACACACTGACACATACACAGATGCCCACACTGGCACATACACAAAAACAGATACTGGCACATACACCCAGATGCTCACACTGGCACATACACACAAATACACACACTGGCATATGCACACAGATACACACTGGCACATACAAATACACAAACTGGCACATACACACAGATACACACTGATACCCACACTGGCACATACACACAGATACACACTGACACACAAATGAACATACACACTGACACATATACACACAATCTGACACACATTGCAGCCACAGCTTACCTTTTAGGGTCCTGGCTGAGGCTGATGGGAGTGAGTATGTAGCTACTCACTCCAGCCTCTCCATGCTGCCTGTGCTGCTGCTGCCTCCTCCTTCCTCCCACGCGGCTGTCTCTTTAGTTGGGAGGAAGTGACAGGGTGTTTACCACTTCCTCCCAGCTGGCAGATACTGCAGGTCAGGCTATTAAAGGTCCGGGCACCCGACCACCCCTGCCACATGCCTGCTTGTCTACCCAAGAGCCCGGCCTCAGCTAGCCCAGGAGCCCCACTGGACCACAGGTGAAAAATATCCACCCAGCTCTCCCAAAGGTAGGGAGGCTGGGTGGAGTTAAATTAAAATAATACAAAAAAATAACAGTTATCTGAGTGTTGGGTGGAAATGAGTGTGTATGTCTGTCAGTGTGTGTGTATGTCTGTGATCGTGTGTGTGTGTGTGTATATATGTATGTCTGTGTGTGTCAGTCTGTGACAGTGTGTCTGTGAGTGAGTGTGTGTGTATAGCGGTCAGTGTGTCTGTGGGTAAGTGAGTGTGTGTATCTGTCAGAATGACAGTGTGTGTGTCTGTGAGTCAGTGTGTCTGTGAATGAGTGAGTGTGTGTCTGTCAGTGTGTTTCTCTGAATGAGTGTGTGTATGTCTGTCAGTGTGTGCCTGTCAGTGAATGTGTGTGTCTGAGTGATTGTGTGTGTGTGTGTGTGTGTGTGTGTGAGTGAATGTGGGTGAGTGTGTGTCTGAGTGATGTGTGTATGTGAGTGAGTGTGTGCGTCTGTAAATGTGTCTGTGAGTGAGTGACTGTGTGTGTGTGTCTGTCAGATTGTGTCAAACCAGTGAGTGTGTGTGTTTGTCAGTGTATGTGACAGTGTGTGTCTGTCAGTCACAGTGTGTGTTAGTCTTTAACAGGAAGAGATGTGGTCTTGACAGGAAGGGGCGGTGCAAATGTAAATTAGGGGGGGCCTGACTTCTGTCTTGAGCTGCACTAACACCAAAACCGCACAATGCTACTCAACGTTTGAACATCGTCAAGACGAAGCTTGTGTCACAACTGGAATTTGATGGACATGGGGAAAGAGTAATAAGATATCTTGAGTGGGAGTGAAACAATATTTACAAAAACAACTGCAGGGAAAGAATGTACGCTGCAATGTAATGCTTAATTGTATATAAAATACATTTTTACAAAAACCTCTTTACGAAAGCATTACTTTTGATACATTATAAACATCAACTAATAATGTGGCAGGATATGCTCTGACTAACCCATTAACGCCGTTAGGGCGTACTATGCCACCCCGCATTTAGTGTGAACTTAGGGCAGCATAGTACGCCCTAACGATCATTAGCTCCCCTGTCCCTGCACACTTACCTAGACTGGCGATCCGCTGCAATCGCGCTACGGGGGGATTGACTCTTGAGACAAGCAGTCCCCCTGCTTCCTTTTTGGCCTTCCAGGGCCATGTGATCGCAGTCCCCCTAGCGTCTGAAAAGTAAAAAAAGGTTATAATCACACTCTAAAATAATATATTATACATGTATAATATATTGTAAATTAAACACCTGATTAACATATTATACCTATTTAATACATGTATAATTGAATTATTACTGTATTTTGGTATTAATCTATATTTTAACCCCTTAACGCCGTTACGGCGTTCTATGCCGTCGCGGCTTTAAAGGGCTTTAAAGCCGTTGCGGCGGCATAGAACGCCGTAACGGCTTTCGGCCCCAGGGGATTGCAGCTACTTACCTCCGCTGCGATCCTCTTCTGGAGGGCTGCCAGACAGCCCCGGCAGCCCTCCCCTGGCGAATGAGGCCCCCGGGGGCCATGTGATCGCTCTAAAAGAGCGATCACATGGCCCCCTATAGCTGGCTATGGATCTGCCAGCAGTGGGGCTGTCTGAAATATCAGACAGTCCCCTGCTGGTGGAAACTGTAAAAAAAAAAAAAAAAATTAGACAAGGTTTAAAATAAATTAAATACATTTATATATATATAAATACTAATATTAGTACATATATTAGTATTAAAATACACTTAGAATGACGTTACATATATATAATATGTATATATATTATATATATAATAGCTATATACGCATATATTATATATATATATATACGTATAAATACATTAATAAATAAAATAAATAAAAAAAATATTGAAACAAAATTTTATTAAAATTATATATTCATATGTAATTTCATTCTAAC